TGACTGTCAGGCATATTTTGTAGCGGGAGAGGCCACAGTTCCAAAGCAGTGTAGAAAATCCGATGTTCTGGATTCCCAGGAAGGCTTTCCCTCAAGATCTCCTCTAATCGACTTTCACAGTTAAATCCCAGGCCATGGTAATAAATACACCCCATTTAGGCCACAGGGAACCTGTCATAAAGTCTTTAATGGTAGTGCTGGAGAAAAACCCAAGAGGGCAGCTATTGGTGGAAAGATGGGAGTATCTCTGAACGCTGCTTTTTGTTTATTGAAAATTGTTTGGGACAACAGTTATAACCCAATAATAATGTAAAGTCCAAGAGTATATCTCCTTGGGTCCAACTGACCTGGCTCCTGTGTAAAACGCTTGCAAGTGGCAACTGTACAGGACATAGCTACAGAGTGTGAACACTTAGAGGGCAGGGCCCTCCCCACTTTCAATTCATGGAGATGTTACCATTGGCCATAAATAGTCACAACCTCTGTTTCCCTGAAACACAGGCATTTATCCCTACAGCTCACAGCCAGAGGATACAGACTGTAACTAGCACATGTTGGTGCAGGCTTGAAATAGTGAGATGTTTGCACATGTAAGGGTTTCTCTTGTATATGTGAATAGCAAATTTTTATTCAGTTGCAAATGTTAAGTAGCCCTTTTTCCCCTGTCACATACCACACACACAAACACCTAAGAAGGAAAAGGCTGTCACTAAGGAGAAATGCCAGTGAGAGTCTACTCAGCAGGTGGCTGACTTTACAGCAGTGAATACATCTACCTCACCCTAGTGTGAGGAATCCTTAACAAATTGTTACATTCCATGCATTTTAATTATTTGGACATATGTTAATTAGTCTTAATAAAGGAGTAGTTATTTAACTTTTGAAGTATCCAAGTTGGAAACACACCCTCTAAAAATTGTTATACAGCATTTGAAAAATTCTAGTCCTGGGGTGGGAAATCTTTTTTTTTTTTTTGCCAATGGCCATTTGGATATTTATAACATCATTCGAAGGTCTTACAACATTATCAACTTGAAAATTAGCCTGCTATATTGGTCAAACATTTAATTAACTCACCTCTAATGCCTTGGCATGGCCAGACCAAATGATTTTGCAGCCTTACACAGCCTGCCCACAGGCCAGAAGTTCCCCACCCCTGCTCTAGTCACTTCAGAGGCTACTATAAGAGCTTTATCTGTAGCTCCACACCATAGGCTTTGTTAATGAGTAATCATTTTCAATGGTCAAATTGGTGGTGTTAATTAGGTGCCTAACACTGAGTCTGCCTCAATATTATTGGATTAATTTCTAATTACCCTTTCATTTAAGATATTATTGGATTCTTTAATAGAAAAGAGTTGAAAATTTTTCAAGCTTACAGGACAGGTTGACTGTTACAGGATGTCTCTTCTAGTGCCTGCTTACTTATAAATATGAATGATACAAAAATTGGTCTAAAACCTCATGTCAGTGTAAGGTTTGGGGGAAGAATATCTACAGCCCTCACCCACCTCTACTTACTAAAGGCCATTAAAAGCAAATAATTGCAAGTGGCCAAGTTGGCCAAGTCTAGTCTACAATAATTTTCTCTAAAGGAGGAAATACAAATGCCTTTTCAGGTGCCATAAGATTAATCCAGTCATATCTACAGTTGAATGGGCTGGCAGAAAGCAGTTTTTAGTTAACAGAAGAACTGGAAGTCCCTGGTTCTCTTATAAGATCTGAAAACAGGCCAAGGACAAAAGACCTTGTTAGTTAAGCACAGGAACAAGAGAAGCACAGAACTATGACATTTCTACTTCACACCCCTCCTCTTCTTCTGGCTTTCCACCAGGGCCAGCTTTCGTTCTTTCTGTCCAATGTACGAGTGCCACCACTCCTGGGAGTGAAATAAAGGTGAAACAAACTAAACAGAGCAATGAACTAAGTTGAGCAAGAGGTATTAGAAGTTTGTGCCACTAAAACAGAACCTACTGAAATGGAGTGGTTTTAATTATTTATAACACTGGTTATTTTTGCTGCTATGGTTAATCTAATTGGTCTGAGCATTTTGAGATGTTCAAAAACTAACTAAAAATGAGTGTGTATATTCTTGCTGTCATCTTAATAAACATTTCTATGGTTTTGTCCCTGTTTCCTCTTATAACTCTGCTTTAAATTTTTCAAGAAAACCTCTTCTCTAACACCATTCCCCAAAAATAGATTTGAAAGAATACCAATGATAGGCATGATCCGTGGGAGTGCAGCATGGGAGTGTGAGCCTTTCTGTCCCCACAGGGGCTGCTGGAAAGGGAACAAAACAGGAATTTGGTTCTAATCAGTGAGATGATTCACGCAAGGTTCTTGTCCTAGAATCCAGTCCATACTGTGCACTCAGTAATGGTAGCTGTCATTAGTAGTAATTTGAAAAACAAGAGCAACTACTGGTCATGGTAACATGTACTTTCAATTCTAGGCAAAGCCTGAAAGGCTAAAATCTAGGTATCAAGTTTTCTATATGACATTTATTACAGTAAAAGGAATGTCTTCCTTATACTCAAATCAGGTCTGAAATTTTCATTTGCCACTTGGTTCTCCCTGGGGACACTATGGTATTCAAAATGCTGCAAAGGTTCAACATGCAACAATAATAGAGACATAGGCATTTTCATTTGAAGAGAACTTACAGTATTCCATCCATTGTTATAAGTCTCACCATATTGCTGATAGGGAAGGTGTTATAATCTCTGCTTTATGGACAGGGGCAACTGATGCCCTGGACTTGTTAAGAGACTTGTCTAAATTTCCATGGCTAAGAAAGGGTGAAGCTTGGAGTAGAACCTGTTCTTTTGATTCTTGGTATAATGGTCTATTCTCTATGTCCCCAGGAAATAAGAGGTTTGAAGGGAAGGCTCTATTGTATGTAAAGAATGGCACTAGGAGACCAGCACAGTGCAGGGAAAGACTGCACAATGAGAAACAAATAGTAAATTTTAGATTACTGTTAAAGAGGACTTAGGCAATCATTCTCAAAGATGGACAAACTGCATCATCCCTATGAGTAAATAAGACCATAAAAATTAATGAGGGGACCTGTTAATTTAGTTTAAAGCACATTTCTTTAGTATCTACTATAGGCATGTCACAGGGAAGCCTAGCACAGGTAAGACTTTTAGAAGAAGTCCCCAAAGAGCATGGACTTCTTCAAAGTTAGAACACACACGAAGGTCAGGGATGGGGGAACCCTTATAGAAGACAGAACAAATCACCATTAAAGATTTAATCTAAATTCTTATCCCATTACATGGACCAATCCTAGGTGGTACAGCTGCTTTATTTTAGTGTGACCTGCACAGAACTGGTTATCTGCTACTGTAGCAACAGGGCACACTCCTGGAGCCTGGGCGGCCCACACAACAGGCAACAAAAGCTGTGTGTTTAAAATGGACACACATACTCCCCCTTGAAATGCAGAGCTGCCCCATAAGTGGGTAAGTGCTCTGGGATTCACTTCCGTTTCTGTGTGTTTTAGTAAAACCAGGAGAGTCTCCAGTATCAGCCGTGGCTTACATCCTAAGCCTCACTCACCGACCTTTAAGAGTCTAACTTCCAATTTTAGATAGCCACCGCCAAGCAGTCTAGGCTCCAAATTTGGAGATTGACAGGCTAATTTTGGAGGGTATATTTTGGTTGAGGGGGCTGGTTGATCAAACCCTTTTAAAGCTCCTTTCAATTCCACTCAGTATTTGAAGAGAACAGATGGGATGCAATTATACAGCTTACGTGACCCATGCAAGGGGCCAGCAGCTATAAAATCAACCATTTGTTAAAGAAATACCATACCTGACAGAGAAGCAAAAAGGATATCGAACTGCCTGGCTGTGAGGCAGGTATCCACATGCTGAAATTCCTTTTCCATAACTACACTGAGAATCTTACAAATGCAACAGTGGGTTCTTCTTGGTAGGGAAGGTGTTATAGACAAGTCAAAGGGCTCCTCAAACCCAGTGCTTCCAAATGTCCTTCCCTTGTGTAAATGAAGACATCTCTATTCCCCACTGGGCCCCAGGAGAGCTTCTGAGACACTGATCCAACAATCTGCTTCCCTGCAGGACCCTGGAAACCAACCCTCATGTGTGGAGCATTTTTAGCTTTCTGAAGAAGGCCATGCCTCACAGTATCGCCTCCTCTGTAACAGCTAGGATTTTATAAAACACTTCCCTGGGAGGAACAGCTCCGACCAGAGTCACGTTTCTGTTGGAAAACAATTGCAGGGATTCCTGTACCTTTAGTTATACCAACTTACTGATGGGATTCCACGCAAGCAATAAAATCAAATATATCCTTTGTGTGCCAGCTTGCTACAAAGGGTAGCAAAGTCTAGCTCTGTGATACAGCTGTGAGAGGCCTTAGAATTTATCCTTTGATCCCATATCACTTTTAAATTGCTAATTACCTAGCCAAAGCACTGAGTTAGAATTTTCTCCCAGAATAATAGGTCACCCAGGCCATGCGGAGAGTGCATTACTGCTGTAGAACAACCAGAAGATTTCTCTGACCAAGGAAACTAAGGAAAGGAAACAAACACAGGAGCAAAAACTAGAGCCAGCCCTACATGAATCACCAGGTATCGCTGGTATCTCATTAGAAATCTGTATTAACATTCTCCCGCCCCCTTGAAGCTTAGGTTGGAAATATGTAATATTTTATAGCACTATGTCACTCTTTCCTAACAGATGGCAAGTCTGTAGTGGTGTGTTTTTTTATATCAGTGGCATACCTCTAATCTTCCAGAACCCACAATAAAACAATGCTTCCTCATGCTGTGAGGGCGGTTGATCGACATTTGTACCTGTGCTCCCTCCTCTGCTCACCCCACTCTAATTACCACCTTGAATCTCAGCAAGGAAAAGCTGGCAAAGGGAAGTGAGAAAACTCAAGACTAACATCGACAGGCACCAGAGTGGTGCAGGATACACTGGTATGTTGGTCACTACATTACTGGCTTTTGTTTTAGCATCTCTTGTTGTTGACCAGGTAATGCAGGGGAGGAGGGATCACAAAGACAACTTGTGGGTTCAGCACATATGCCACATTGAAGTGGCTCTTTTGTTTTTGTTTTTAAGTTTTCAAATTTTCCACCTGTCATTTCAAAACAGGAGTTATTTCACAGTGATTTTCCAGCAGGCTTTTCTGAGGTGGATAAAACATGGACAATACGTAGTCTGAAGAATGCAGAGTGGGCAAAGGCCTGTGTGCATGGGATTAGTTTGAAAGAGATTTCAGTAGGGAAAGCTGAGCCTGTCATATACAATACCACAGAAGAGGAAAAAGGCTCAAGGCTGTCCACCATTTAAACAGGGTCTTTAGAATTTAATAGGTGAGAAGTAAGCTAATCTGGCTAGTAAAGAACAGAAGTGTGAGAACAGGGACAGAGCAAGAGACGGACCTCGGTTAGCACTCTGCTAATCAACACTAGGCAGATACCCAGACTAGGCAGGAAATATGCCCCTCAGGACCTCAGTGATCAAGAAGGAGCATCTCTTACAATGTGGCAAGAGTCTAAAAGCAACCAACACGCTTGAAGGTTTAAACTGCCCTTTGTTGTTGTTTTGTGGATAAAGAACAAATTTTGCCTCTTTCCTCAGGCCTCTTGTTTGTACACAGGTGTTGTGATTATATTAAGCATATCAGGGAAAGCCAAATTCCAACTAAATAATTAGTGAAATGGATCTTGAACTCCTTTTTATGCCCGTTTGATTGACGGATGAACAGGCTGGCCTGCCTGAGACCCAGTGAGGTTAACACTCCCAGCTGGGGCCTTTCTTTCTGGAGAATCACTGCTGGCATCCCAGGCAGATGCTGTACTTTAAAATGAACATGCCACTGTAGGCCAGATGTTAAACACCATCACACCATCGTCACAGAAACACACAAAGCTGCAGTCAAGGTCACAGACACAGCTGGTGGTGAAGGAAGTCTTACTGGAGGAAAGACATTCGCCATTGGCTCCAAGTCATTCATCACGACTTCTGATACTTAGAGGGGGACCGTTTTATATGAGAGAGAGCAAAATAATAACTATTGACCTTGGTTTCTCTCCCTAATCTGGGAATAACATTCGGTAGAACGCCCACTAGAAGCAGAGCCGTCACACGTAATGCTCTCGGGGGTTGATGTAGACTCTCTCGGGATCGTTGCTCCTGTGATGTTTGCCAGGGCTCCGGTCTTGGTAGCACATCTGGTTGTAGAGAGGGCACATCTGCTGAATCCCATCTTCCCCCACTGGATTCTCATCTTCATACTCAAATCTCCTGCTATTTAGTCCATTCTAAAAATTCAAACATTGCTTACATTAGCAGAACAGCTGTTGGCATTTTTCTAGCACTTCGGTAAAAACAAGCAAGAATAGAATTCATTACAGTCTGTGTTCCTGATTCCTTAGCCCACACACTATTGAATGGCAAGGTAAAGTTCAACAAATTTTCATTTTCTAGTCCTTCGTTGATTTCAATACCTGAACAAGACTGGTGGTGTCTCCTAAATAGAAAATTGTGACTAATGACTGGAGACTATAGTCAGTTTCAGGTTTTGAAATTTGGAATTAGTATCAGTTAAGGTAAACTGGTGAAAAAGAAGGCTGCGAACTTCAGGTGTCCCTCAGCACGGCTCAAGCTTGGAATGACTGCATGAGATATACAGGGTGTTCCCCCCAAAATATATACATGCTCTAACAGCTGATGGCTCAATTTAAAAAATGAAATGTATTTTAATGAACACTGCCTTTATAATTATTCCAAGTGTGTGTATACATTTTTTGGGGGACAAACAACCAAAAACAATGAAACACAAATAACAGAATCCCAAAAGAAACCTCAAGATTCAGCACTGGGCAGTTAGGGAAGACACACAGAAAAATGAACTGGTTTTTTGACCATATGCCCAACTTACTGAGAATAAAAAATACTATAAAAATATGTGTATTCTTTTCTCCTGACTGGTATGGCTCAGTGATTGAGTGTCAACCCATGAACTAGGAAGTCACGGTTTGATTCCCAGTCAGGGCACATGCCCGGGTTGCAGGCTCAATCCCCAGTGTGGGGCCTGCAGGAGGCAGCCGATCAATGATTCTCTCTCATCATTGACGTTTCTATCTCTCTCTCCCTCTCTGTTCCTCTCTGTGAAAAAATAAATTCTCCTGTATTGTTTACCTTCCTTCCTTCCTTCCTTACACAGCTGACACTATAAAATGAACTCCATGATGATCTCTTTGTCTGGATCTGATCCTTCTACCTGGTTATTGGTTTCATAAAAGTTGGTTACTTCTAAGAGGGATAAGCAAGAGCAAGAACTTTACAAAATGATACTGCAGATGCTTAGATATCAGAGAGATGAATAAAATAAAATTTCTTAGAAATAAAGTGATATTTTAATAAGCATGGTGGCCACCAGCTCCACCTCAACAGCAGAACCTCAACAGCAGGACCGAGTTACTCACAGAGGGCTGGAGACCGCCAACCTCTCTTCCTTTGAAGTGACTCTGCAAAGGCAAGCGTTCAGTCTGGAGGAAGGAGAGAGAGAAAGGTATGCCCTTTAAAGCACCAAGCACATGGCAAAACAGATAACCAAGAACACTGAGACTCCTGCTTTTATGAGAAGCAACCATGTCTTGTGAAATGTTTGCCAACTAAGCAAAATGCTCTACATGAACATGGGGAAAACAGCTACATTACTTGAGAGTTTTGTCTCTTTCTCTCTCCTGGCTCCAGACTTCTTCTGGAAGGAAGAAGGGACTCAGAACATCTGCTGCAGAAGTTCTCAGGCAAACTTGTTTACACCTTACTTCAAGGAGGACTCAGCACCGAAGGTCTCTCACCTTTTCTCAGGGAAGAGTGCCATTTTAAATCGCTAAAAGTAGTTTCACGGTGCTAATGAAAGGTCATTTTTTTGGATTTCCCCATAGACAGTTTACATGGTCACCCTTCTCTTCCTGCTATTACTCCCTGCCCCCGAGCCCCACAGGGATCATAAAGGGGACTTACGGTTTTCAAACCCTGAGAAGGCTCTTTCTCAGTGGCCCTTTGGCTTATACACACATACTTACCCTTCAGCCTCCAGGTCAGATATCACCTCTTCCTGGAAGCCTAGCACTAGGTGCTCAGGCAGACAGCCACTCTCCTTTCTGTGCTCTCACAGCACGTATCATCCCAATTATTTATGTACTAGAGGCCCGGTGCACAAAAATTTGTGCACTCAGGGAGGGGGGCCCTCAAGCCTGGTCTGTGCCCTCTCACAGTCTGGAACCCCTCAGGGGATGTCCACCTGCTGGCTTAGGCCTGCTCCCTGGGGGATCAGGCCTAAGCTGGCAGTCAGATAATCCCTCTGGCAGCCTGGGAGCCCTCGTGGGATGTCCACTTGCCAGCGGGGAGTAGGCCTAAGCTGCAGTCGGACATCCTTAGCACTGCTGAGGAGGTGGGAGAGGCTCCTGCTGCCACCACTGTGCTGGCAGCCATCAGCCTGGCTTGTGGCTGAGCAGAGCTCTCCCTGTGGGAGCGCACTGACCACCAGGGGGCAGCTCCTGCATTGAGCATCTGCCCCCTGGTGGTCAGTGTGTGTCATAGTGACCAGTCATTCCCAGTTGTTCTACTGTTAGGGTCAATTTGCATATTGCCCTTTTATTATATAGGATATGCCTGTCTCCTTCACTAGAGTGGGTGTGCTGGTTGGAATATTTTACAAACATCATTTCATTTCATCTTTATAATAATTCTACAAAACCAATATCTCTATTTTACAGATGACTGAAACCAAAGCTCAGAGTGGTTCAATTGTCCCCAGTCACACAGCTGGGAAGTGGTAGACTGTGATTCAAACATGGATTTGTCTGATGCCTAATCCTGTATTTTTACATCATCTGCTTTTATCTCAGTGGCTGGAAAATAATGTTCAATAAAGATAACAAAAGAATGCCTAGCCCTGACCAGTTTGGCTCAGTCAATAGAGCGTCGGCCTACAGACTGAAGGGTCCCAGGTTCGATTCCAGTCAAGGGCATGTACCTTGGTTGCAGGCACATCCCCAGTAGGGGGTGTGCAGGAGACAGCTGATTGATGTTTCTCTCTCATCTATGTTTCTAACTCTCTATCTCTCTCCCTTCCTCTCTGTAAATGATCAATAAAATATATTGTTTTAAAAAAAGAATGCCTAAAAGTCACATAACTATAAACATGCTCTCCATTTTACTGCCTTTCTTATATTGTTCTTTTTGTCTAGAAGGTCTGCCCCTTAGTCTCTGGTAACTAAAATACTACCCATCCATCTTGCCCTGACTAAAGTCATTTTTTTCCCCTACAAGGCTTTTCCACATTGCCCACCAAAGTTAATTTCTCTATTCCCAGTTTTTCTATTGTTCTTGTTTATATCTCTATCAGAGCAATCATCGAGATCTCTTTGTTTCATTCATAGTTCCTAATGTCTTTATCTTTCAAGGCCATCATCCTCCATCCTCACACCCTACCCTGTGGTTCTGTAACAGGAAGAAGTCAACAGCTAACCAATGAATTTACTGAATTCTAAACAATTGATTCTTGATATCACATTCCAGGGTTATCCAAATTATAAATTATCTGTGTCAAATTTGCCCCCCCCCGCCCCGTCTTATTTTGCATGATTCTGGGTGCTTTCCACATGATCAGTTCATATAGACAGTACACTAAAGTCCAATGCTGGGCCAGTCTCAGGGACGAGTGACCAGTCACACAGGACCTAGTGCTCACCAGGGTCCCACTTTGGGGTTTAATGCTCTGTGGTTGGCATCTTAAGTTTCTTCATGTCACTGTGAATGTGTATTGGAAGTGATCTAATGTGATAAAGGAGCATGTTTCAGGGACTTGTAGCCTCAGCTCAAGGGTGTCCTGCCACCCGCTGCTGGTCACTGATTTAGTGCTTGGCCACCACTTACCCACTCTGGTGCCATATCCCCTCCCTCTAAATACCAGTACATAGGATGTCCCAAATATTATAAGGACAGTGTTTATTAAAATATATTTTATTTTCAAAATTGAGCTATGAGCTGTTAAAGTGCGTATACATTTTTTGGGGACACCCTGTACTTTCCCTTCCTGCCCCAGTCCAGTGACTGCTGCTGCCTTCTGCCTGGCAGGGGCCTGAGTACTAGCACAGGGAAGGCTGGGGTCAGGAGTGCATGCCCCTCTGCTTCATACACATCTGGGAGGTGGCTGGAGAGCACGTCTCACGAGGGCAGACTAGGTACCTAGTCTGGCCATCTTGACATTCTTAAGTTTAAAACAAGGGGCCCCGTATTTTCATTTTTCCCTGAGCCTCTCAAATTATGTAGCTGGTCCTGGTCTAAGGAAAATAGACTCAGGGAAAAATACCTAAAATTAAAATTCACATTTTGTTTGGTCTACTTGCTGTTTTAGACGGTCCTGTTGCTGTTCCCCTTCCATTAATGCAGGTCATTGAGAAATGATTCTACGTTACTGCCGTATGTAATTTGCCAGGAGGCAGAGCACTTAGACGCCTCTGCAGAAAGAGTAAGTGCCCTCTCCCGCTGGTGGCCGTGTGTGGAGAGCAGGGTACAGTCCATATGGAAAGAGATCATGTTCCAGAAATACAGTGATTAGGACCTCAAGAGTTCAAGAGAAGACTTGGTTGAAATATGTGCTGCTTAATTTTTATGCTATAAAATTCCGAATGGTAAATTTAACATGACCAGATAATACATGATCATTCACACTTTACTGAACACTCAGTAAGATCTGCATTTGGTTATTACCAACAAAATACAGTACAACCTTAAGTTCTCCTTAGAAGCCAGTATTCATGGAGGACACTGGATGGCACAGCGTCATGAGTAACAATATAACCAGTGTTAGTTTAATAGTATTGGGGAATTAGAGAGGAAGAAAATTCTATTCTGTTTCAATACAAAGAGATTTCAGAGATCCATGGCTTTATAAGTAATGAAAGCATTGCTACCTGTTTCTCATAATAGGAGATATAAAATTAGCCAGAAGTGGTACGCTTGACAATAAAGGACATGAAAAAACGGGGTCCTAGACTGGAACGATCTTCACATGCACTAACTGGACAATAAGCAAATACCCAAGCTCATCTTCTATACCCAATATTGTAAACCTTCATCCATAAATCACTATGCCTCCCACAAGCCCATGAACTTTTAATTTTGTAATACAATATTTAATCAAATAGTTTATATAGACAGGAGCCCCACATATCCTAGGGATGCACCCACCTCACCCCTACAACCTGCCCCAGAATCAAGGGCTATTGAAAAGCATGCTTATCTCTATACTGTGTGGCCATCCAATTTCTCACAACATACATAAGGCATAATTTATTCTAACAGTGGGTGGCTACGTGTGTTCTCTTTTTGCTAGTCCATAAACTAACTGAGATGTTGCATATTCTGATTTATTTACAAAGTTACTGATCACAGTATATAGAAAACTGTCTTGCATAATACCTCACGCATTTGGTGTTTAATACATATATAATGAATTAGTCTATAATACTTTAATTGTTGGATTCATGGCATATATTATTCCTGAATGTTTTTCCTAGGAAGACTTGGGCTACTCTGAATCTCTAATACATATTTCAGTTTCCCTGTTTACATGTATCCACTATGTTAGAGCAATTTCTATTGAGCTACAACCCATATCATTTTCCTAATTTACTAAAGTCACAGAGACTTTCATTCCTGGATTCCAAGGTGCTAACAACACTAGTTTTTCAACTTTTATTCTATGTGATCTTAATAAACATTTTGCCTTTTCTGGCTCAAAATATAAACCAACATCTTCACTTTTTACTATGTATTATATTTTAACCTGTTTCCAAAACAAAGTTTTCAGAGTTGTTGAGGTTTATTTTCAGTTAATGACAGAGCAAGATTTCAAGCCACTATTGCCATGAGGTCAATAACTGGACACTCAGCTCACTCTGGCAGTGTTCATGTGGACCCATTATTCCCACTTCCCAATCTGAGTCTTTTTGGTCTCCTATCTTGTTTCATAATTTCATCTTTAGAGATAAATGAAAAGATAATATCCAGTAAAAATTCAACTTCTAAAAGGTCCTTAGCTTACCTCCCTAAACCTCAGCTTAACAAGTTACCTAAAACTCATTACATGCTGAAGGAGCATCTGTCTTTCCTCCGTTCCTATTGTGAAGATATTCTAAGCACCCCACAACCTGACACCTGCTGTGTAATTGGTGGCTCCTCCACTGCTACTTTCCCAATTCAAGCATTTGCTGAGCTTCCCTATCACATCATTGGGTAACTTTCCGCTGCCACACCAGACATAATCAAATATTTTAATGTGCAGTCACTACTTCATATGGAACCAGAAAATCTCAGAGTATAGATTATATGAATAATGTATGAATAATAAGTTTAATACTCAATTACATTGATTCTGACTGAAATCTTGGCTGGTTCTCTTAGAAATGGAGCAAATTATTACACGTTGCCCTATTATGCCTGTATAGAAACTCTGAATCTTAGATAATACAAC